TCGTCAACTACAGCTACCCTGAAAGAACTCAGATCTCTATTCGCTCGATTTGGAAATCCGCAAGTGATCGTGTCGGATAATGGGACGCAGTTCACAGCAAAGGAGTTCCAAGATTTCTGTGAAGAGCGAGGAACCAAGCATAGGCGTTCACCACCATTCCATCCGCAATCAAATGGACAAGCGGAGAGGTTTGTGGATATCTCTAAAAGGACCTTCCAGAAAATTAAGGAGGGAGGAACGGCAGAGAAGCTTGCGGAATTTCTGCAGTCTTATCGACGAACGCCTTGTACAACTGTTTTGGGACAACGTTCGCCTGCCGAGCTGCTCCTGGGACGTCAGATAAGGACACCGCTTTCGCTGCTGAATGAAGACTCCAAAGAAGAAGGAATTTGCAACGAAAACATGGAGAAGCAGTTCACCGCCACCATGGAGCACGAAAGAGAGCGTACCAGCCACAAGAAGCCGTGTGAGTACGTGATTTTCGCTCGGGATGCGAAAAATGAATTCTAGCTCGTGTGAAGAAACGCTAGGGAGAAGCCGTGTACGATGTGCTTACAACCAGCTATGGAGACGACATGCGAATCAGATGCGCAGTGGAAGAATGGAGCGCCGTCGTGATCCAGCCTCTACCACACGTCTTGAAGAAGGCCAAATGGACAATGGCATGAACACCAAGCAACTTCAACCACTTCACTGATTCCAGCTAGATCGAGCCGACATCGTCGACCACCTGAACGACTCCAAGTAGATCCTCATTTTAAGATGTACCGTTGTTCATCTTGGGACGGAGGTGTTGTAGAGCTGTTCAGTGTGAACTAGAACTCGCTCATTATTGATAGCTAAGGCTGAGTTGACCTAGGCTGCTGCGGCGTACCCGCCGCACCTTGATTATGTTTACGTGTTGTTATTGCATCGATCCAAGTGGACCCGCGGCATATACGCCTATGTGTATAAGGGGAATCTTTGTGTTTTTCTAATAAAATCAACGGCTCAACGCGTTCCACAACATATACGATATTCGTTCATTCGAGATTATTGGAATGCAATTACCCTAATTTCACGCGTACAAGGCGCGGGGGAGTTTTTTCGAAAATCGACCAGCCCAAACACGGCAAAAGACTTCGCGAACAAAAAACCATATACGCGCTGTATATTGCCTGAGAGTATCGTGCGGCATAAGTCTCGTTTTCCGAAACAAAACGAGGCGGCTGAGCGGCACGTTTGAAAAATCAAGAAAGGTGCGCCTTGTACGCGTGAAATTAGGGCAATTGGTTTCAACTATAATATTCAGTATAAATTTTTTTCAGATTGATTTTGTTTCTTTTTGAATTGTGTGAGAGTGCGTTAGCTATACTATCAAAAAGTCAAAAGCTTGTATACACATACACTTATCTTCTTGAAACACAGCCCCGAATGAAATAACTCAAATTAGATACATAAATGGCTCCTCCTCACGTTCAACTGAGCTCAACCTAGAAATTTCTATTAGTCCCTGCTCCAAATTCAGATATCGGTAGTTTTTTGCTCTTCTGTATGAAAAGGAAAGGAAAGGTCCTCATGGAAAGTCCTAGCAGAACCTTGGATTCCGAGAGCTGAATGGACTGCTGCCTCGAAGGCAGTGTCACAGCAAAATTTGGATGTGGGGATTTTTGCATACTATACTTCTCTCAGTCTACCTAATTCAAGTGTTCCAATTCGCAAGAAATTCGCGATAAGCCTTTGAAAACCCCGCTGCAACTTACAGATATGTGCTTTTCTGATGCTTGCATCGCATGTCTAGGCATTTAATAAATGAAACGGTCGCCTGATCCACATGTTGACGAAAGGGGAAACGGGTGAGTCGATCAGCCAAGCCAAGTCGCACTCTGCAAGCCACTTCAAGGGCAATTTTTTTCAAGATACAGGGTCAAATCGAGTCGGACTTGCGCAATGGCCTATGTAAGGTGACCTTTAACAGAGATCGCGAAGACCCGCACCATTTCATTGGTGAGACACTGCTTTTATAGAGTGTTAAGCTATATACAGGGTGTCCCAAAAAATGTGCCTACCGTTTGAATGAAAATAACTCTCTTGTCATGGAACTTTCTTCAAGTACCATTCTTGGAGCGGAATTCAACATAGATTTACAGTATGAAACGAATCCTCGATCCCCCTTCATTACTCTAGAATCACGGTGGTGGAAACTCTTAGGACATGATGCCGCTGTGAGATGGGCCGCCCAAAAATTTTTTTTCAAATCTGAAAAATAAAAATTGTGCAACAAGGTTTTCATGCATGCTGATTTTACTACACAATTTTTTAAGCGTTCGCAGAGGTTTTCAAACGGCGTAATCGAATTTTCAACGACTATTATATTTCCGTTGTTACGGTATATCTGACATAACTTATGAGAAAAGCATGACGGTGAAGTACAAGTTTCATATTTGAAATCAGCGACTCCGAATGACCTAATGCAGGAGTCTTCAACTTCTTTAGTCCCTTTTTAGGGGTCAAAGATCCTCAATGACACGAAACCCTCCCCAAATTTCTAACAAAATCCTAATTCGATCCATATCGCAAAATGATGCCTATAGACCCTCGAAAAATTTCATGACAAAGAAAGTTTAAAAAAATCCAACAGTAGGCACATTTTTGGGACATCCTGTATATATTAGGTTGGAAATTAAGTTCTGCAACTCATTCAATTTTCTCCTAACATGGTGCACACAAAACTGGCTAATGTGTGGATTGTGAAACGCACGTACTGCATCTGCTCAGACAATCGCCGGGGGCAGGCGGGCACCGGAAAAATAGATTGCTGATCTCTCGCGCCCCGCTCGCGGATTTTTTGGAAAGCAATCAGGACTTTTCGGAAGACCGCTTGCTGAGTTCTCGATTTCTCAGAGATTCAGCAATATATCTGCAAAAGATAAGAGCGAAAAAAAATTCAACAGGCGGCCTCTCAAAAATCCGCTGACAAGCAAGCGGTCTTCCGAAAAGTCCTGATTGCTTTGCAAAAAATCCGCGAGCGGGGTGCTGAGAAATCAGCAATCTATTTTTCCGGTGCCCGCCTGCCCCCGGCGATTGTCTGAGTGCTATTCTGCGAAATTCTGACGTGGCAGTCACGATGGATATATAATAGTCTATGGGAAAACTAAGAAATGTGACTGATTTTATAACCTAGGGGAATTATCCGACATGCTGATCACAAAAACTTCACTGAAGTTGCATGATAGGGGCTTTGTAAGTTGTTACTGTAGGTTTGCAATACAGGATCCTATCCTAAGGAAAAATAGAGAGGCCTTGATTCAACTAATGTATTAGGTTGTCCCAAAAGTTTTGTCCGTTTTTTCAACCTATTCATAAAAACGCGTGGAACGAAAACAAAGAAACGATTTCAGCATTATCCGACGCATCTTTTCCTTCTCTTTCTAACTGTCATGCTTCCATGCCGATTAATCTTTTGTTCACTGAGATAAACGCCGAAATTTCGAACCCATGGTTTTTACTATGCCCAAGTTTGGCAATTTTTCACAATCTTTATTTTTGACTTTCGGAATAGCTTTGGCAACAGTTAGATAGAGCAAACAAAGGGCAATATGATGCAATTTTGCGGCATCTATAGCCAGCCTTGAAAATTTTTAGAATTATTTTTCTGATGGTATCAAATTCCACTTTTGGTGATGCCAAAAGTCAGAGATCATGAAACGGCGCACCACTAAGGTATCATTCGATGCAGCTTTTCCTCCTCTTTCCTGTGAGTGTATTTTCTCTTCAAATAGCGGGGTCCTTAGCGATAAAATTTTCATAATTCTTGAATTTGACCCCACCCCAGCGTGTACACGTTAAATGCAAAAACTTATATTTCGAAGCGGTAAACGCTCATTTGCTTCGTAAAAATAGTGAATAATCGTAATCGGTTTTTGAAAGCTTCAAAATCCGATGCTTTATTAGTGTTCGAGGCGTTTCTGTATTTTAGAACTTCGCAAAAGTGAAGACTTTTGAAAAAATTATCTTTAAAATTATTAAAAAGCCAGCTAAATATGCCGAATAATTGCATTGCATTGCCCTTTGCTTACTCTATCTGAGGGCTATCAAAGGTCTTCCAAAAGTTGAAAATGAAGATTGTGAAAAATTGTCAAACTTGGACTTAGTAAAAACCGTGGGTTCGAATTTCGGCGTTTATCTCAGTGAGCAAAAGAGTAATTGACATGCGGGCGTAACAGTTAGAAAGAGGAGGAAAAGATGCGTCGGGTAGTGCTTAGAGCGTTTCCCTATGTTTGTTCCACGTATTTTTATGATAGGTTGAAAAAACGGACAAAACTTTCGGGACAACCTAATATATGGTATTCGTGTCTGGCAGGCCAAATAACTCCACTGTATGAAGTCTCGACGAACTTTGAGAATAGTTCAAAATAGTTCAAAACTGCATATGCGCGGTGCACCTTGGATCATGAATGGTTGTTAAATGTGCATTCAAAACGACAAAGTAATTGATTTAAAAATGGAAATAATAAAGAAGAGGTAATTTTTTGAATTTTGACGCGCTCCCAATAAGCAGGGGAAAATCTCAACGTGGAAATCTAATTGGCCAATTCTTTTGAGTTCTTTCATTACACCTGAGTTTCTGCTAAACAAACAAAATACTTAAAGGCATACTTCATCACTGGTTACACTGTCACCTCCAAAAAAGTCATGATAGGCATATCTTGCTCAAAAGGTCACATTACTGTATTCCTTTTTTGACGTCTAGAAGTTTCCAAATCTTATCTGAACAAGCATCAAGAAAAACCTAGCAGATTGTTTTTGAAGTCATGTCTGTATGACAGTTATATGGTAAGACTTTAATCCTTTGGATTTTTTAAACAAAGATCGCCGAAAATCATAAAATTTGATTTGCCTTCATTGGTGCACGCAATCAGAGCTCCCGATAGCTTTGATAAGGGACTGCATAGGGTTGACATCTGCTATATAAGGGCCTATTAGCGATCAAGAACAAATTTCAGACTACAATTTCTTAGCTTGAAGTCACCAAAATGCGCCATCTTTCTACAGTAAGTGCTAATCCTGCTCTGATATTTGTGATATATAATTGCTTAGTGGCTTCTTCTGCTGTCCAGCTGTGTGTCGCTCAGTATAGGTAAGTTCTCAAATGTTGTCGAAAAAGAAAAGTTAAGGCCAGTTTTTCTTAAAAAACAGCGGTAAAATCAATAACAATCAAATAATTGCATACTTCCACTTCTTCAAACTTTAAATTACAGAGAAGTGCCCAGATTATGAAATGGATACTGATGGTTATAACTACGTCGAGTTGCACAATGACATTCGACAAGGCGTAGCTAAACGCTCATTTCCATACCCTCAGAAAGACGGTGTCGAAATCGAATACAGCAAAAAAGGAACAAAGAGTCTGTTTAGATTGGTACGCTTGTGTTTGACAGTTATGCTCCAAAAAGTTCGCATGGAATTCAAAATTGGTGAGACTGAGTAGACTAACAATATGCTATCAAAATGAATAACGGAGCGAGGAGATTACAGTGAGATTCAACACTTTGAAAAGAAAAATAAGCTTCTACTTTTTCGTAATGATTAAGCCCTAGAATGCGGTAAAACGTTTGCCTTTACTGAAGGCATTATAAATTTTATTCGTCAAGATCTTGATTAGTTTTTGCAAGGACTGATAAAATAAATATCGTGCAGTTTCACTATGAATGCACGTTCGTTACGTTGGCACAAAGATCAAATATAAAAAAAACAAACATGAATTCTATGGGAGAATGTAAGCTCTGTAAGATGACTTTTGAGCGACCGCAAGAAATCGATCCTGTAATCTTTAAAGCAAGATCTAAAAAATTTTTACGAATCAGATTTCCGTTTAAAGATTCCATAAAGCTTCTACTTGGCCACGCCCATTCTCACATCAAACAATATTTTCATGTTAAAACATTGGCAAATCGAAACACAAGGTCATGAAAAGTTGTTTTTTTCTGGGTTTTCATGCTGAGTTGATATTCCTCAACAACTAGCGTTTGCGAGAGGTTGAAAGTCTATGGTTTTCTCAAATGTTCGCAGCACGTAATCACCAGTGAATCCCAGGATTTCTGCTCGGGGGGGGGGGGGGGAATGAAGAAAAGGGAGTAAAAAAGTAATTTCAGAAAAGGGGGTGTAGTTGCAGCCACTTCCGAAAAATTTTTAGCGAGGCTAATCTGAAAAAAATGCTAAAAATTATATTGCTTATTTACAACTCTTAACAAGCTTGCATATTTTGATAACTGGGGGGGGGGAGTCCAATGTTTTGAGGCATGCTAACAAAAGCGGCATGCTAACCCGAGAAACAATACCCTCCTTGCTTTTCCGTTCAACAATGTTCAGCTTGAACCGGTTCCAGCTACGCTAAGCCCCGCATAGCTTACACTGAAGAATGTTCGAAAAACTGAGTACATAGTCACTTATGCAAGAAGCAGATATTATGGCGTCAGTCCCTATGTGCGTCAATAGGAGTTATAGTATGGAAGATGTCTGATTTGGGATTCAAGCCTTAGGTTAAGAACAAAAAGATTTTTTTGCTTATTAATCATTTTTTATTTACAAGCATATGAAAACCTTCTAGACATACTCGAGTGTCCTGGAAGGAATTGCAATGGCAGTTATTGATGAGGAAAAATGCAAGCTTAAGAACCAGGAGGTACAGGATGCCTATAACAAACCCATCAATTTTGCAAGGTTAGTCACACACGTTACTGTTTAGTAGTTTTTCCGCTTGATACAGCGCGCTTGCTGTGTCGAAAATTTGCAATAAAACTTGCAAATGAACAAATGATTACCCCTTAAAGACACCGTCCACCCAGATTCTCGACTTCCATGTTTTGATCGTTCCTGGGCCTTCTAATACCCCTTATTCCGAATTTGAAGTCGAGAATCCGCGAAAACCCCAACAATCTCCGCTTCGAACCTGCAGGCCGGCTTTCAGGAACGGTGATTGGCTGGGCGCCCACGGATGGGCGGGCATGGATGGAGAGGGCGGTGCCGTCTAGAGGTCCTCGTGCATCTTCGTTATTCCGCCGCGAGTTTCTAGCTTCCGAGGCAATATTTTGCGCCGCCACTTGGGCATTGGCTTGATAGGGTGCCCCACTATCATATGCTGCAAAAGCTCGAGACCCTCAACTTAGGGTGGACGGCGCCTTTAATGCCGTTACCTGCCGCACAAGATGGCGGCATTTTGGCGCGGCTATTTTTCAAGAGAGAAGTATTCGACATCGCCCCCATTATACCAAGCGAAAATCGACTAGACTACACATTATCTATTAGGAAACATGCATATTTTTATACAGGCAACGAGTCAACAATAATCAGAACAAAAAACAAGTAGCACAAGCATACCAGTGGGCAATCGAGGATTGGCGTGACACAGCTACTTTACCTCTCACCGATGCTATTTACAACGACGATGGAATGAAACCATTTGCAAATGTGAGTTTATTTGCTGGTACTTTCTACGCTGTTTTAAGAACTAGTAGATTTCCGCTGTTTTGCAACATCTTTGACTTGGTTTTTCAGTAGCAGGCAACTGTTTTCCTTTGCTGACTGAAGTGAAATAAGGTTAAATTCAAAAAACCTACATTTGAGACCTTTCCCTACCACTCGCCTTTCAACAGGCTTGCACTTTGAAGCTAAAAGATTTTTCAATTTACGAAGTGAAAGCAAGGCTAAGCATTGAACTTTGTCAATAATCTACCTTAACTTATCCTACAAATCGCTCTAACTAGAAGCTTAGTTGTGAGCAAGCCTGGTGTAGGCTATCCTTATCTGCGGTTTGTTGTACTTTGAGTTGGGGCTAAAATACATCTCAGAATCAGTATTTTCTTACAAAGCGACTACTAAAAAATCTCAACATTTGTATTCCGTTGCAGAGCATAACTGCACCATGAGCATGCTTGGCATTCCTCAACTTGTCCGACTGTTAGGGTAAACTAATCAAATTTTAGATGATCTATTACAAGTCGCTACAAGTGGGATGCAGTCATTCTCCATGCGTAGGCAGCACTGACAAAGTTGCTATTGCATGCGTTTATAGCGAGTTGTAAGTGATCATTGATACTGAGGCTTAAAAAATATTCAATTTTCAAGTCCAAAAGTTGGAGAGCCGCTCTATCTCGAAAACAGTACGAAAACTGGCTGCACCAAAAAGTGGTGCAAAGAGATAGTATCGGATGCTGACTGTTTAAAATATGACTCTACAAAAGATGATGCCAGTCAGGAAGACACTGCAGGTCTTTGCTGTACAGCAGCAGAAAAAATAGATGGTAAAACTTTTCGTAAATTAAGATTTTTCTGCGAGAAGATTTTTGCCATTTCAGAAACTACTACCATGAAGGTCACTACCACGGCAGCTCAAACATCAACGCAGGCTGACACAACGACGTCAGCTGCAGAGACAACAACGCCAGCTGCAGAGACAACAACGCCAGCTGCAGAGACAACAACGCCAGCTGCAGAGACAACAACGCCAGCTGCAGAGACGACAACGCCAGCTGCAGAGACAACAACACCAGCTCAAACATCGTCGACAGCTCAACCAACCACAACCCAGGGTTCGAGTGGATGTATGACGGAAGACATTAGAACTCAAGTAATTACTTCGTTCAATGAGAAGCGGTAAGTTTAGTAGCTTTCAGAGAGTTCTTGACTAGGTTTCGGAAAAGAGGACGATTCAACACATCCACGAGTCGGCCGTGTTATCGAATTCTACCGTTTCGGACATACGACCCATCGGTGCCCCACTTTCTTGTGTTTTTATTTCAATCACCGATGGTCGTATGGACCACAAGGTACCCTTGTAATTTGAGCTTTAACTAGATGGTCTCGCAACATGTGCCAAAATCCCGTGTAGTTCCAATATGAACTCGCGATACTTAGAAATACGACCCACAGGTGAGTCGTATTGTTCGAGATGGCAGTACACATATGACCCACCGGTGGGTCATGTCGTGAATGTACCAATATTGCTGCGTTTCTTTTCATTTAATGGAAACAGTGGTGAATAAAAAATTAAATAGAAGGCCTTTTTCGAAAGTTAGTTGTCATTTGCTTCTAAACCGTTCATGAGCAGGCTGTAATTGTTCAGATCTTCGCTAGCAAAAGGAGAGGTGCAGAATGGACCCGCATCAGCAGGAAAGGGAAAGCTATCGCCAGCTCAGAATATGTATGAAATGGTGCGATTTTTTTGTATCTTGTGATTTTGTTCACAAAGCTTCTATGCTATATCGCGCAGAGTTATGACACTGAACTAGAGAATGAAGCACAAACGTGGGTTAGCACATGCCCACCAAGCCCAGGAAAATCAGAACTTAGTACTCGTGTGGGGCACGGTGAAACCACTACGATCATTGGAGATAAAACTACATCTTGTGCAGATTCAATCAAACAAGTAAGTACACAGCAACATTAGGATCTACAGGCATCTCTGGTAGATTATTTACATCATGAATACTTAGGCTTTGGAAGCGTGGTGGAATGAAATTGAAAAGAAAGCTCTGAACTCCGCAGTCAAATACACGCAAGTCCTGGAACAAAGCGCAAATGCTCCCACAAATTTCACCCAGGTGGGTTATTTCCGCTGAGCAAAATTTCTAAAATTTTAGGACCTAGAAAAAACGACTATTTCTGCAGCGCTCAATTGAATGTTTATATAGAAACAAACAATTTTACAGATGGCGTGGTACAAGTTAATAGGTTAATAAGTTGACGCTCAATAAGTTTATAAGTTGACAAAAAAAAAGAACTACTCGTTGAAATACATCACTTGAAGGCAGTGTGCAAATCTAGGAGCATCAATTTTTTCTGGAATGATGAGGGGGTCCTAAATAAGGCAATGCCCAATCTGCAGTGCAAAGGATTCATTCGCGGCTGAAAAATCCGTCCCCAAACACTTCGCGCCTGCGTCGTGACCGTAACTACGGGTCCCAGCGCGAACGTAGTGTTAAAGTGAGCGAAGTCTTCGGGTTACGGTCACGGCGCGGGCTCGGCGGGGTCTGGGCGCAGTGCGTTAATTAGAACCTTCTCATCAGTTTCCAGGCGAAAACTTCGTGGGTCCAGATTTGCCTGGATGCTGCCTTTAAACTGTCTTAACCTCGTGATTTTGGAGAAAATATACTCTTGAAAAAAGACACAACATGATTCGGAGATTTTTTCTGAATCGCAAAGTGGTTGGTTCAAAAATTGAGGAAAAAATGGATTCTGAAGCAAAAAACAGCATTGGAAAAACAACCTATTTATCCGATGAAAATATTCTTCCACCAAAAACACTTTGAAATATTTCAGATGGCTTGGGCTGCTTCTTATAAGGTTGGTTGTGCTGTTGGTAATTGTGAATATGGCAATTTAGTCGTTTGCCGCTACTATGTCAGGTAATCATTAGTATTGCTGATTTCGTTAAAATTCTTTTTTGAATTTCTAGGGGGAACATCTACTCGGAATACATCTACCGTATCGGAACAACTTGTGGTGCTTGTTCCAGCAAATGCACCAATGGTCTCTGCAAGGCTCCTAGTTAAATACAAAGTGGAATGGCCTTATAAACTGAACGGCCGTAATTTTGAATAAAGCATTGCATGATTGCTATTTAGTGGTTGCAAATTAAGATTCACAAAGTTTGAGGAAAACGTTCAAGCAAAGTCCAGCACAAAGGCAGTTCATACCAATATTCGGCTTGACATCTTGAAGAATCACTGGTGTATAGGCGAGAGTTCATAGGGCTAGTTTACAGGGTTTCTTTGAACTTTTTTTGTGGGAACCTGTTGTCTAGCCGAAGCCTACTGCATACGAAGATATGAACAGAAAAAATTCAAATCCCTTGCTTCTGATAAGTTTCACTTGAAAATTTATATCCCTTTACTGCGCAATCTTAAGCTTTTATTGTTTTTGACTGTGATCTTTAAATAAAGCCATTCAAGGTTAACTTAGGCTGAGTTCGTACTGATTTGGAAGTCCCGGATTGGTATGAACCAAGCGGAGTTGCAGGAGGTTGCTACATAGTTCCCCATCTGTACTGAAGACAGCTTTGTAGAACCAATGACGTAGGTCGGAACAAAAATAACGAAGAGAGAATGGAAAGCGCACGAAGGCACATCTTACGTGGGAGCAGACTGCGTTCATTTTCCAACCCCGCTTCAAGATCGGGGCTTCTTCCATCAAAAGGGGAAGCGAAGCAGAGGAGTGAGACTGAAATGAGTGAAATTTGCGAAAAAAAACGTCGAAAACGGTCAAAAAACCCTAACCACCGCCTCAAAAAGCACACGGGCGGCTGCAACGCATTCAGCACAGTTCCAGCACAATGCGAGAACTGTGCTGGAACTGCTTTGTAACTTCGAAATCAGTATGAACCCAGCTCTAGCTTCCACGTTTGGCGTGATGTATCTAAAATATTTTTTCAGATTTTGTTTAGTTTCGAGTCTTGATCACTTAATCTATTGAGCGCTAACACAACGCACTATGCAGCTCTTTGTAATGTTATCAGAGTTTGAAACTGCAACACTAGAAACGCGCGTGCTTACCCAGCATATCGGACTTGCAAAATTACTTTGGGACTGGCGATCAAAGACCTCGGGCAGAGTTCACGCGATTTGATCGTCGCGATTCAATGGTTACAAGACAAGTGTTACAAGTTCATTGCATGCCGATCTTTTTGTATTTCGTTTGTGATAGTTTCTCAACACGACTAATCTTGACAAGTAATATTTTTGATAAACAAACGTCACATTTTCGGATGGTGCCTCATCAAAAATATTACTAGTCAAGTTTAGTCGTGTTGAGAAACTATCACAAACGAAATACAAAAATATCGGCATGCAATGAACTTGTAACACTTGTCTTGTAACCATTGAATCGCGACGATCAAATCGCGTAAACTCTGCCCGAGGCCTAAAGCGACCAATTCTCCATTTGTCGAAGGTCGCTGATTAGTTCGGTCGATACATATTCGTTTACTTACTTTTTTCATTGTGAAAATTTGTTAGCAAATGGCATTCGGTTGCTTTTTCTATGGATACAATCTCCTACTCTGAATATTTTCCCAATGAATTTTCAAGTTTGTCCACTACGGGTTCGGTATGGGATGAGGCCAATGACAATCTATCTAGGTTTTCACACTTAATATCTGGTGAGGATTAAATAAAGCGATTTGTGAACGCATCACAGTTTCGGATGGTGCCTCCTCAAAAATACTACTTGAGCCATGATTTAAAAATTGTTTTAAGGTTCCTTCAAAAAAAGCCAAGGTAGCTACAGTTTTATGTTTTTATTTCTATACTGTCGGACACCAGCATCAAAACACTTTAGCACTTTCGAGACCATGTAATCGGTTCTCGAAACTACAAAAATATTATTAATAATCATTTCGTTTCAGAGTTTTGCTCTACAAGTACACACCAAGTCGAATATCCGGCAGTAAATAAGCAGAATAATTAGAAATTGCTATTTTCAAACTTGTGGATGAATGTTTGAACAGGATAATTGACATATGATGCTTAGCTTAAATTTTATTGATTATATTTTACATACCTTGAAAAACGAGATTTACCTAATGAAACAAGACATGTTAATAAGTAAAATCTTATAATTTTGATAAAGCATGCCTTTATCAAAAGTTTTCTTATGTCCTCTCGTTTTTCTCATTGCTGCACTTCTAATTAGTCGTGGCACCACAAAGAAGCATGTCAGCCGAATGCACTCGTAATGCATAACCATAAACTTCTTACAAGAAATTCTATTGGAATGTGACCGCTGTTTTCTCGCAGGATTATCGAAGCTATAAAATCTGTTTACAAGGGTTATGTATGGTTTTTGTGTATCAACAGTAGTTATGACTGCCACTGAAGACAAGTGATAGCAATGGAGAATTTTTCTCAAATCTTTTTAGAATTCACATGACAGCAGCGATATTTTTGATTTTAGTTGTCAAGCGAATGTCTTATGGAGAGACATAGAAAAAGCTACCTATTTGATGCAGACAATAAATTGTATCAAATGAATGTCTTATTAAGAAATCTAGAAAAAAATTGCATTATCTGATGCAGACAATAATCTGGAATCAATACATACAGTTTAGATAAGACGTCTTCATCTAAATTTTTGTTTTGAAAAAAAAACTACTGTGAGAAAGATATGTTGATGCCAAATTTATTGCAGCTTTTAACTGGCTGCATAAATTGGCTGCTATCACCAACCAAATTTTCAACGCTGTAGCCAAAAATGGTCACGATTTTTATCAAACTCGTAGGCTGACTTTTTGGCAACAACGCCTCAGAGCATGAAAAGACCAAGAACTATTGCAAACCTCAAGGGCTGCTTCTATACAAAAACCTAATTCAACAGTAGGCAACTAGGATGGCGAGGGCCTCGGACAGAGTTCACGTGATTTGATCGTCGCGATTCAATCGCTACAAGACAACTGTTACGAGTTCATTGCATGAGGATCAGCCTGCATTTCATTTGTGATACTTTTCCAGCGCGAAATTTTTGAATGTAAAATGAAAATGAATGAAAATCGCGGCGATTAAATCGCAACGATCAAATCGCGTGAACTCTGTCCGAGGCCTAACGGAGAGACAAGCACTGTGCTAACGTTTACCCTAATAACCTTTGGAGACAGTGCGAGCAGACACCCTCTGTTCGTAACGAAATTCATAGAACGAGTCGCAGGCAAGGTTTCAAGCCAATATTTTTGGCACAACACACAGTGCCAACATCTAGGTCCACCATGAAAAGTACGAGCAGTACCATTGAGCAGGTCCCTCAGAAATTGCACCCATATGGATCCGCTCTACTTGTGGTCTGCAAACTGGGTCTGTATTACTACTTTTCGCTTATGTTTGGCAAGTAAACGTATAAGCCATAAACTTTAGGCCGGAAAAGAGATCGAAAGTCTATCGTTCCATAGAATCGGCGCTCAAAAAGAACTGCTTGCATGAATGGTCAAATTGCCAAGTCTTTAACCTGAATAATTGGGAAGATTTTTGCACAGAGACGCGGTTCAGTGTGATATTATCTTTATGGCGACTACCAAACCATGGAAAAATTCAAAAGTATTCCAAAATCTGCACTTGTTCTTTATCTTTTTTAGTTTCATCTACGCAAAATACCGATCTCACACGAAAGAGTTTTCATAATGAATAGCTGTTTACGATTTATTCGTGAAGGGGAGCATTTGCGGTAAGTTTCAATACCATGTTATGCGAGAATGAGGGTAGCATATAGATAAAAAGAACCAGTGCGAGATTCTGGGAAGCAGAAGTGACGCTTTGGCAACACATAATTACAAATAACAACCTTTTGGTAAAATTGTTTATCGTTTAGATACACACGTACATTGCATGTCGCTCTTCCTTGCTTTATAATCCTTTTTTATGAGCAAGAGTCCATTTCAACTAGCTGTATAGGCTTCGAGACAGCTCAACTTGAAGTGAGAATTGACGAACTGTTTGACAGCTGGCATAATAGAGAAGATACCATACATCTTGCAAGTTGGAGAGATGCGAAAAGAGGCAAAATGTATTTAACAGTCTCAAAGGCAGTGTTTTGACCTTGGTTGTCAAGATCTGTGCATTTTACTAACCTATCAGCCCTTTTTTAAACACTGTTGTGGCTTAAAACCGCACGAAATTCCCAAAAACTCCGTTTGAAGGCCCCGCGGAAGCACTGTGGAGGAAGAAATGTGGACGAGTTGTGCCTTCTAACTTCAGTCTCCGCCACAGTGTCAGCAACACAATGGAGGAGGAAATGGAGGGACGTGTTAAAGGGAGCGTCCGGGCAAGATCCACCCACCCAGACTAGCACATACTTCTGCAGCGGGCCCCATGAGTATCCGATCCGAGTTGGTCCGATCCTTAGAAGTGGCCTTTAAAAGGAGATACGGGCCTGTGATACTTATCACAAACCGCCCCTCGAGGACGTGTGCTCACGCTTCAGGGGGAGGTTTCGATCATGGATTGCAACTGCACCAATGCAGTTGTAGCTCCTCTTTAGCGGCGAGAAGGGGAGATAAACAATCTGAAACTCGGCGCCCTCAAAACAGGGTCCTCAGAAATTGGGTTCTTTGAGGGTGGTGGACAATTTGAACTTTATAACTGTAACAAGGGCCACAGAAATTCCTTAGAAGACAAACACATAAGAGACGAAATTTTGCCCGGACGCTGCCTTTAAGATGCGTAAGGAGGGATACCGGAGAAGTCGCCCGCGCGTACCAAATTGCTCTATGCGTACCACTTTGAGCAAATTTTTCTCAGCGTTGAGTGAGACTTGTTGCAGTGGTCTATTTAGAGGGCTTTATATAGTACAATATGTGAAGATCCGCGCAGCCTCAATTTTGGTGGGACACTGTCTTCAAATTTTGTGTAAAATGGTGAAAAGCCTACAAATGACTTAGAATCGACTTATGATAGAACGCTTCTAGTCCACTCGGCTTTTGGCGCCACAATTGGATCGCTGATTCCACTATTTTCAACGTCGTGTATTTGTTTGCCCAACTCAGACAATTCACCGGAACTTCCGCAGGACAAGCAGAACTTGCAGCGTTTCCGCAGCACTTTCTTAACCATTGAGAAAGTGCACGCTCCAAAATGCGAGGTTTCCGCAGGAAATTGGACGTCACAGCGATCGTGAACCTGAGCTTCCGCAGCACTTTCCATAAAGCGCTGCGAAAGTGCAGTGAGGCTCGTAAGGTTTCCGCAGCACTTTGACCTGCCAGCATTTCCGCAGGACTTTGAGAGCGAATGCATTCGCGATTGCGAAATAGCGAACGCAACATCAACAGCGCATAGCGCACTCTTTTCTTTCATACTGTTTCGCTTCTGTACCTCCTCTAATCTTTCTCTTTTTTCTTTCTTTCTTCAGTGTTGGAGTAAGTAAACCTATACTCATCCATATTGTAAGTAATATCTGCTGCATGACGAAGGCGGTTGCCCAAATAGGTTGAAGGCTGTCGCGCATGCGGCGCGCGGGCAATTGTCAACCACCGGGCGCACGCACGCTCGGTCAGCGGTCATCCACTGGAGCGTGCGCGCGCCCCGTGGCTGACAATTGCCCGTGCGCCGCGTGCGCAACAGCCTTCAACCTATTTGGGCAACCGCCTTCGTCATGCAGCAGATATTATTCTTTCATTCGGTGCAGGTGTTGAACAACCATCACCAAGCTGCTGGAATGCTGCAAAGGGCTCAACGGAGGGACTTCGTCTAAGCACAACGCCCTTGTTCAGGTATGTCGAACTTCTTTGCTTTATGTGCTTTGATTGAAGTAATAATGCAAGTAATTTAAAACTATTACT